GGGGGGGGGGGGGGGGGGGGGAGGGGGCATTATTTTCCTCCTCTTCTTGTGCTTGCAGGCTTTGGAGCTGTTTGGCCAGTGTGTCTTCTAGATCAGCCGTACTTCTGCTGCTGACTGCTCTAAAATCACAAGATCAGCTTAAAAATAAGAAGCCCACATGCCCTACATTAAGTTTAAGACTCTTCTTGGAATGTGCATTTTGGCTTCTCCTTTTTGCCAGGTGATTCCTGAGCTACAAGGCTATACTTTGCATTTCCAAGGTCTTCCTCTCAAGCAGGAGGGCTGAACTGTACGGTCTGTAATGCAAAACCCATCACTTTCATTAACCCTGGATTTTGTGCAGTCCTAATGAGGAGCCCCCAGAGTGTAAGCCCCATGCTAATGGGGTGCAGGCTTTGCTGTGGGGTGTGCAGTCTGTCATTGCTGCTTAAACCTACTCCAGGGCATTCCTGGATCTCTGGCAAAAGTAAATAAAACAGAAGAAAAGTTCCTTTTTACAAAAGCAGCAAGGCTGCGTGCTTAGCTGTTCCTGCCTTCAGCTGAAGTGCATTTCCTGCAGTACACTCTGTTACTCAACAGCCTGGTTTGGTTCCTCATTGTTAATCATTTGCATCTTACATGCGCTGGGATGCTGCTGCGGTACTCTGCCCTCCCTGTCTGTCGGAGACCTCTAGGCAGCATCTCTCTGTCCTACAGGCTTGGCAAGCAGACCAGGGGCAGGGAGGGGGGGATGCCACCTGGCTTTAGCAAAACAAATTTGTAGGGACAGTTATTGGCTTTTATTAAATCAGTCAGTGCAGCGGGGGGAGCATGGGGAAGCAGATGAGCTCTGGGTCATGCAAGCCCTCCTTCTTGGCACTGACTTGGACCCACATGGCTTTTGTCTCTGCTGCCATGAATCTTCCCTTCCCAGGTCAGCAGCCTAATAGCAGGTTCACCTAGCTTTTTATGGCCTGATTGCTGGGAAGAAGAGCTTCACTTTTACCTTTAGTGCTCTGAATTACAATGACACTTCTTCAGGACATTAGGTGATTATCAGGCAAGATCAGAGAGAAAAGTCTCCTGCCTGTATTATGAAGGTTTCATAAACACAGCAGTGGACATGCACGGACGGTTGTGCTGCAGTGTCAGGCTGCTGCGCTTCCCAGGGGAGGCAGGCAGCAGCAGGCAGGGCCTGCCTGTCCTTGCAGGGGCTACGGCAGTGCCAGGCCCCACTCCAAGCACTGGTCTCAGCTCTCAGACCTGGCCAGCTCCCCCCTCCCAGCTGGAGAGGAAGGGAGCTGTGCCTGACTAAGGGCAAGCAGTGCGGGGACCATTAGAAATGTGTGTGAGGGTCTCTCGTGCTTTGCACCTGGGGTGAGGTAATTCACCCCACACAGCAGTGTGTTTGCTGTAGCTAGCATGTACACTCCCAGAAGCTGGCCTTGGAGACACCAGGCTGAAGCATCAGCTGCTGGTGTCAGCGGTCTCAGAGGTGGTGCAGGACAAAAGAAACGAGGGGAATGGGGAGCTGCGGCCGTGCAGGGCAGAAGTGTGTGGTGCGAGGTCGATGCTGTGTGGGAAGGGAACTGAAAACTTCTCAGCTTCCCCATCCTCACCTCAGCAGATCCAGGCCTGAAACACAGGGCATGGCGCTCTCTTTTACCCAAGTGCCATCCTCATTAATTTTCAGCTAGCCTAGTGTTTTACACAAGATTTGCTGCCATTATAAGCTCCCAGCTCCAAGTTCCGTCACTGACTATGTAACACCATGATTTTTCCAACTTTTGATTCCTCGCAGCACTG